ATAGCTATGTTAGGCATCTCTTTTTCCCATGTGTATATTGATGGTTGTTTACACTAGTTCCTTCTCGAAACAATCTGACAAGTTAATGTGATTCCATTGAACCAAGAACCAAACATAGTAAAGGTACTGTATCTCTTGCAAATACATGAATGTGAAGGAGATACAGCTTTGACAGCGTAGGCAATTTCTTATGAGCAAATTCTCTCCACCAATGCAATTGGCAAGCCTTTCTATGCTTTAGTAGCTGGCTTAGTGAAGTCCTGGAGACACATGAAGATTGACTAAGGTCACACAGTAAGGGCCAAATGCAGTATTTAAACCCTGGTCTTCCAAATTCCAAGTCATCCCCTAGACTATATTTCAAATAAGTGACTAAAAAAAAAATCAGACGCCAAGTGCCAAATAGGCAGCCAGCTGTCTAATCTGCTCAGCTGAATCACTTCTGCCATTAGCTTCAACCTAAGAACTTCAGGCTTGCTCCACTTTAGTCTAACCTTCAGCCTTCCTTTTTCCAGAGCAAATTTGTTGACTCAGGAGATGCAACCTACATAATTATTCATTCTCATTTCCCTAATGCACTCTTCAAGGTTAAAAAAAAAAGAAATTCCTGGGTATAGTTCAAAAGAAACTATAATCTCAGAACAAAATTCAATTGATGCTGTAGCCAAGGCCCTATAAACGCAGTCTTTCTCACCGAATTCAGTCATGTGTTAATTCTACAGGACAGAGGAGAAAAGGGGAATGCACTAATGGCTGAAATCAAGAGAAAGGCATGGTTCTTATTAATAAGGCACGACGAAGACAAGCTCAGCCTCCCAGTGAATATTAACCAAGGATTCAGCTGTTTTCCTGAGGTCTTTTAAAGGCTGTTTTCAAACAAAACACAAAAACAAAACCAAAGCGACCTTCAAGTTTCTTCTTGAATTCTTATCCCAGGAACTTTATATGTAGAAAATGGTTATGTTTGGCTCGGTTTGGATAGTTCCGTAGCATAGGAAGACAAGATGAGAACATCAGTAGTCATATCTGTACATTTTCTGCCTTGAAAACAAGTAAAATAAAGTTAATCTCTGAAGCACTTTTGTTTTCTTTCTTGAGAAAAGCCCATAGAAGAGGTGATGGCTTGAAAATCCAGTGGTCTTACGTAGACCCTCTTGGATTGGTGAGCATTCTGTGCCTTCTCACCTCTAGCATTTTAGGAAGCAAGCTGTTTCCTCTCTACCCTTATCCCCTTTGTTGAAGTGTCATTCAGTCAGAAGCCTATCAAGTATCCTACAGACACAACACACATACTACCCCCCTTCTGTGGATTAAGAGTGTTCATAAGCAAGTCAGGAGTCTAAAGGAAACATTGCTGTTAGCTAAAGCGGAGATGCAAAACCCTGTGGGTAAGACAGACTCTTGTAACGTATATACAAAATGCCACTGGAATCCATAGGTATAGAAAGAATAACTGTTTTCTGGTGACTTAAGCAGAAGCTTGGTATTTCAGACTCTCTGATGTTCATTGGGGAGGTGCTATGAGATGTCCAGAGAAACTGGATCACTTCTTTTAACTCTAGTTCATGAATTTATAAGCCTATTTTGGTTGGTACCTGTGATTTCATTGATGTAAGGAACTTCCAGTGTGGAAATTCTCCCATGGATGTAGATCAGCAACCCACTTTACCTTAGAGTCTTCTAGAGTTGCCTGGGGACACTATGAGGTTAAATGATTTGCCCATGGTCACATAGCTTGTGTCAGAGGCAGGAAGTGAACTTAGCTCTTTCTGACTCTATTCACTATGTCATGTCTGGCTTTCTAAATAATAGGAACAGAATGGAAGTTATACCATCTCTCTACCTAGTACAGAATTCAGTTCACTAACAATTAAAAAATCGCTTTGTGAACACTAACTACTATAACCAAACAATACCCCAGAATATCGCAGCCCTTGTAAGTCACCTATGGTTGTCATTCCAGAAGTAGTAGCTATAATCAGCCACCATGATGTCACTGTTTTGAAATATTATGGAACCTACTGCAATAAATTTTTGATGAAAGTGTGCTATTTAGTAGTATTCCAGTAGTATCTAGTACTATTTGGATGAAGGTGAACTCATGAGGCCATATTCTCCTGATTAAAAGATGCACTTTATTGCCATAATTTTCCTCTAAGATAAAGAAGTGCTGGTCAACTTTCATGTTGAAGAAAATTTTAGTGTGATACTTTACTTAGAGAGCACCTTGGTCCCATCAGAAAATTTACTATGGTAGTATCTAGATACTTAGATGAAAATATCCAATAACAAACGTAGCCAGTAATAAATCAAGCAACTTTGCCAGTTAGTTTTCTATCCAGAGATCAAAATCTTCATCAAAATTTTAAAGCTATCATCATTTTCCAACAAAACTGTTTCCCTGGGGTCATTGAAAGACTCTTCTTTCCTCCTCTTGATAGAGAAAAGGGCCATGCTTTCCTCCCGTCATTGAAGGCTTATCTCCTGACCTCCCTCCCCTGCCAACTCACCCCATTAGAAAATGAAGTTGAAATGATCAGGACAGATAGAATGAAGGCAAAAACAATAACAAAGCAACCAAACCAGACTAAACCAAATAAACGAATAAACAAAACAGGAGAACTTTGACCTGTTTAATTTATTCCTGACTCTCAGAAAAGTAGACTGGTATTCGTCAATGCTACATAATATGAAAGTTCAAATCTATTAGAAAGTCTCCTTTTGTGTGATTTGTATGAGGTATCAGCCACATTTTTTTCAAACTCTTTTAACTTTACCCTGAATAGTTTAAAAAGAGGCTATATAATTCAAAATTTAAACCAATATTAGGCTGACCACACCACCTATGATGAGTAGAGATCTCAAATCCAGGCACTTTCTTGTCTTAGTCCCCAGATGGTTACTTAAGTGTATGCTAGATGAAGATGCTAGCAGTTCCAATAGCATCTGGTGCTGAGATATACTGGTTCACATGGGGATTCAAGGCTATATGTTTGTAGAATTTGATTCGATAGGATTCCTTGGCATGCTTGGAAAGGCATAGCTTGAACAGTGGAATGAGGACCTGCAATTGTCTTTTAATAGTCAATTCTTTCTGAATGGTACAACTACCCTTGTAGTTATCATGATGATACACAGCAGTGATGGATGAGAGGGAAGAAAGAAGTCTTATCTTCTACCACATGTCTCACTAATACCTATTACTTGTAAGATAATTGTCTTTCCGTCTCTATGTATAATTATATGTGTGTATATATACATACATGTATACATGTCTATATATATATATGTACACATATATCTATAAAATGTGTGTATATGCACACACATGAAATGGGTTGAGAGCTTCTCAACCAAAAGAAAGCCAGTTACTCTATAAGCAATTATTAGGCACTTACAGGCACTATGTTAAGTACTAAGGCTGCAAAGGAAGGTAAAAATGCTATCCCATGTTCAAAGACCTCACATAGGAGAGACTACATGCATGTCAATAAATAGGTACATATAAGATGCATGAAAAGTAGATGAAAAGTAATCTCAAAGGAAAGGGCTCCAAAAGTTGTGTATGGAGGAAGGAACCAAGAAATGGCTCATAGAAGCCACAGGATTTGAATGAAGTTTTGAAGGAAGCCAGGGGTTCTAAGAAGTAGAGAAGGGGAGGGAGCCAGTACAAAAGACCTGAACTTGAGAGTGGGAGATTTGTATGTGATGAATTGCAATAGGCCTGTGGAGCTGCATAGCAGAATTCATGGAGGGAAATAACATGTAAGAAAAAGTAGGAGGAAGAGGCCAGTTTGTGAAGAGCTTTACATGCCACATAAAGGATATTATATTTGATTCTGGAGGTAATAGGGAGAGCTGCTGTCACCTTGTGAGCCCTCTTCCCCTCTCTGCTGTCATGTTACAAGTGAGTATTGAGGATATATTCTGTCTGTCTTGGGGTAGCAGCCTCAGTTTTCTCTCTTTTTTGGTCTTACCACTCGAGCCTTGGAACAATAAACTCTCTGGTGGCTGACAGAATCCTGTCGGAATGTAAGGGACAGAAAAACACATGTCATTCCATATATGAGCATCCTTTCCAGTTGAAAGGAATTTTGTTGGATCAAAAAAAATTAGGAGCATTTTCATTGAATTTAAATGTCTCTTTTTGAAGAGGTTCAAAGTGATGAATATTCTATAGCAAACCGTATAGTCATTTGTGTGGTGTGTTTGTGTGTATTTTCTTCTTGAGGACATGTAAGTGCATACATGGGCATTCCCTAAAGCTAACCAAAAACCTCTAATTACAAATTTCAGCACACTAGCTTTGAGGTCTTGAGATCTTAATTACAAGTTTTAGCAATGAAATGCAACTTCCTATACTTCTCAGTGATGGGTGTAACTAGAAGAAGAAGAAAAAAAAAGCCCTTGAGACTTTGGTGCCTGAATTCAGAGCTGTTAGTGCTAGAGGAGACCTCCAAAGGATTTGTTCAAAGGGAAGAAAGAGGCTTGTTAGTTTCATTAGTAGCTGGGAAGAGTACTTTATATATCCCCGAAGTGGTGATAGCCTTAGGCCCTGGTCCTGGGTACAATGAGCTATGTGGACCCATCTTCTAAGGCATGCAGAGCTACCTACAGCGTAGTTCTGAACTGTTGGGTGGTGTGGCTCATATTTTTGGCCCACTCATTGTCTAGAGCTTATTTTTAAGTGCTTGCCTTCCCCCAGTGCTGATTCCTAAGATCAGGAGCATAGGCAGGAAGGGAGGTTCAGGAGTGTTTTGTAAGGTTAACTGATGAAACACATTTGCAAGTTTTCCCTCTTGGAAATTAATCACTGCTCACTGGAGCCAACACAGCAAATGCCTTTCCTTCTTCTCACCCCACCCCCACCCCATCTGTTCTTTCCACTGCCCCCACCCACCCCCAACCACTGAAATTGGTTTCCAAGTGTCATACGGCAAAGACTTTGAGCTTCTTGAGACTAATGCCTCCTTTCCCTGTTCTCTCCTTTGTCCCTACAGTGCCATGGCTACTTATTCTGCTACATGTGCCAACACTAGCCCTGCGCAGGGCATGAACATGGCCAACAGCATTGCCAACCTGAGACTGAAGGCAAAGGAATATAGTTTACAGAGGAACCAGGTGCCAACAGTCAACTGAGAAAAACAAACAAAAAAACATTCAAAAACAAACCTAAGAAGAAACCAGAAACAAAGTAAAACAGAAAACCACCATAAGATACCTATCTTGCTCTGTCTACTGCTTCGTCTGCTGGGGAAAACAAACAAACACAAACAGACAGACAAAGAATGCAGAACTTAAACATTGGGACCATAGCAGAGAAAAGCAAGAGAGGAGCAAACTGAAAAAAAAAAAAGATTAGTTAACAAATGTTTCCTCTCCCTTTGGGATATCACTACCATTTGTTCCTGTGTTTGATTATTTTTATTTTCATTCATCTATGCTTTGCTCAGTATAATGCAAGCTTCTTCAGCTATGTCCGCCCCATCCCTCATTATTCTAAGTTTTTTTTTAATTCATAACAGCAGAACTATATAGACATGCAGAAAAGAGTGCCTAATGTCATACCGCTGACCCATCTTGAGCCTTAGTGCCTTCCCTGTCCTTCTGCCTAGCTCAGTGTCTAAAAAGCTCAGAGGGCTCTCAAGATTGCCAAAGTCTTTTTAAAGTGCCTGTCTGCCTCCCCAGAAACCTGATTTGCTCCCTGATTCTCTCTCTGCAATGTATGAGCAGGTTTTGAGGGATAGCTTCGGGAAAACAGCAGCAATGTCCAAAGCAGGTCACTAGCCTGTCCTGATCTCTTCCTACCTGGTTCATTCAGAGCACTAAGCCTTATTTAAAATAATAGCAACATAAAACATGACCCATCCACTCCCCAAAGTACCAGCCATTCTGGGTTTAGAATGATCCATACCTTCACCATTAGCTATTTTGAAGGGGGAGGGGAGTACCCTACATTTAAGAGAAATAGAAAACTAGTCCTATGCACAATCAAAGACTGAGATCTGTAACTGGTGTTGCTCACTGCTTCCTTGGTGCCACGGGTAAAAGGATAGTCAGATGCACATTTATATATATATACTGTATATATTTATATATATATATGTTATATATACATATATAATATTCTTACGAGCTTGGTTAGATGGTTTCTCAAATGTAATGCAATGAAGATGAAAACATCAGGATTGTCAGTGGGCTACCACCACTTTGTGTATCTCTAGTGAAGGCAAAAATTACTAGTAATTAGGCTCCTGGTTTATTTTCTTTGCTGATATATAATTCCAGTTAAGGCCATATAGGGCAACCCTTTCAAAATAGATTTTGTTGGTGCACTGTGACTTAAAATGGATCATAGCTTGATCTGAGGGTATGGAAATAAGGCCCTTTTATGAAGAGGTTGGTTTCATATGGTGTGATGAGAAGACCTGCTTTACAGTGGGAGTTATTTTAAAGAGAAGAAAAGCCATTTTAATCATCTGTCTTTTCTTCAATCAACAGTAATCTGAAAAACATTTTTTGGAAGTCAGCTCCTTAAAAAAAATAGAATAAACCCCCAATTTTAAAAGGCCATTTCTTTAAAAAGTGATTTTGAACCAATTGTACTTGCAATTGGGAGCATGGATACTTTTATGGTTTTGTTAATTGATGTTGATTTTCCCAACTGTGCTTTAATCTTACCAGGAAACCTCAACCGAGTTCTATCACCATGCTGTGCCTTAGTTTACCTGTTTGCAAAATGGGTTTTGTATTACTAATCTACCTCACAGGGGTGTTGTGAGGTTCTAATCATTTGTTCAAGTCATTCCTTCCTTGACTTTGTGGCACCTGGGAGGAAAGATGATGTCCTCATTTTCTAGCAGGAAAGTGCTGCCTTGCTATAAACAATTGCAATTGTGTATTGGGAAATGGGGAAACTGATATAAACTCACAGATTTCTCAACCACCATGTCTTTTGGCCAAAAGGTTAATTTACTTTGACTGCATGAGAATCAACATGAGAATACCGAGAATGCATGCCTTCTTTTTGACAACCCTTGTTTTTCATTCATACTTCTTCTCCTGAACAGCTTGGCTCTAGCATTATAAATTGCAAATCATTAAAACACTTGAGATTGATCTGCAGATTCCCTGGTGAGGGCCAAAGTGGTGAAGACCACGTAGAGGATGCAAAGTTCTGAACATGCCCCATGCAGATCAGTCATGTTCTTTACACAGCAGGTTGAGTTCATCATGACAATCTTTCATTTCTTCACATGGACTGCCATCCAGCCAAATATGTATTCCCTCATGCTGTCCCTAAATCTCTGTTGTGATTACATGTGTATTCTGGTGGATACAAAAGAAGTTCATATTACATCATCTTGTTTATGACCAAGTACTTTCCCTCCTCTCCCAACCTACTTGAGAGAATTCTCACTGGACCCCTGAACTATATGCTAAGGGATGTCGAATGTAAGGATCTCTATACTCATTTCCTACTTGGCCTCTTGGTTTTCTTTCTGATAGCTCATGAAAAAATACCAAGGTCCATGAATTAGAAAGTCACGATTTGTCTTGTGAAAAGAGTATGGTCTTGAACATTTTGAAATCTCCAAGGAGAGTAGAGGACTAAAAGTGTAATGAGGTAGGGTGTGTAGCGAAGGTGTTGGAAACACCGTTATTTCTAACAAGGTGCTTAGGTTTCTGAGGTAGGGAGAGAGGACAGGATCATTCTTAAATGAGATTTCTCTAAAACAGCTTGATATCCCTTGCCAGTCAAGAACAGAGAGTACTAAACACACGACCAGAGTTGGATAAATCTTAAGACTGGGACTACAATTCCCAGACACCTCAAAGTGCCACCAATGCTAATCAACCATGAGGATTTTTCCTGCTGGAGAAACCAAAGCACTGGCATCCATTTTCCTTTGCAGTTCACCAAGAATTATAGCACAGTACAAACGCTATGGTCTTGTGCATTTCTTTTCTGTTCTTTTTTTAAATGCAAGTATTATATGGAATTTAGAGGAGTAGCCCTCTGGCTCCTGGGTCAGGTGCCAACTGGGAACTTGGGCACTACAAAGCTTGAGGCATCTCCCTGTTTCTCACTCTTACCATACCCAAATAATGATAATAATAATAATAATATATATAGACTATCTATCTGCCAGCCTCACCCCTCCACATAACAAGATGCTGGTCCATAGAGGATTTAATAGGTGAAATAAAACCAGGAGAGGTGATGAAATGAAAAGGGAACAACACTGAGGGGTAGAAAGACCTCATAAGAAATGTATTATGTAAATTATATCTTGCTTTATGTTGTAAAATATACAGTGTTTGCGCTAGAATAGAAATGATTCCTTTTCAATAAAAAGAAAGAACACTCATATCTCATCTCTTGTTTCATGCTCTTGTGTCTATTGCCTCTTTGATGTCCAGATACCCTGTTCTACAAAGTCTGAGATGGATATTGAGGGGAATGGGATGAAGGGAAGAAGGGGCAATGAATAAGAGAATTGTAGATATATGGATTAGGATCTAACATCTGGAAGGCGCTTCAGAGGTCATTCTCATTTTACAGGCCAAGAAACAGAAGTTTCCAGTGGTTACTTGCCCAAGGTCACACAGTAAATGTCAGAGGCAGGATTTGAACCTATGTCCTCTGACTCTGGGAGCAGCTAGGTTGTGCCATAGTCCATCGAACAGTGGGCTTGGAATCAGGAAGACTCATCTGATCATTAAATCCAGTTTCAGACACTTAGTAGCTATGTGACCCTGGGCAAATCACTCAACCTTGTTTACCTCGGTTTCCTCAGCTGTAAAATGAGTTGAAGAAGGAAATGGCAAACCACTTCAGTGTCTTTGTCAAGGAAACCCCAAATTGCATCACAAAGAGTCAGATACAACAGAAACAGCTGAACTCTGGAAGCAAGGCTTTTCCTACTGAACTATTGTTTTCCTTGAAAAAGGACCTGAAAGAATTATTGATCTTCATGAGTGGTGTGGGGAGAGAGTAGAAATGTTATTTCTTAGAGGAATAAGAAGCCATGAAAAGAAACTGATCTCCAATGTTCTTTGTTGAGCTTACTATTGTCACCAAGATCTCAAAAGCCCTTTCTCACCTCCCCCCACCTGCTGCCCCCAAAATACTCTTAGATCCAGTGACACTGGCCTCCTTTCTGTTCTTCACACAAGATATTCCATCTCTAGACTCCAGGAATTTTCACTGACTATCCCCATGCCTGAAACACACTCTCTCCTTGTCTCTACCTCCTGGCTTCTCCAACTTCTTTCAAGTCTCAGCTAAAGTCCCCTTGAATGCTGATCATTTAATTCTGTTGATTGTCTCTAATTTATTCTGTCTACATCTTGTTTATATATAGTTGTTTGCATGTTGTCAGGCCCATTAGACTGTGAGCTCCTTGAGGGCAAGGACTGTCTTTCGCTTTTCTTTGTATTCTTGGTGCTTAGCACAGTGCCTGACATGTAGTAAGCTCTTAATAGATTCTTGTTAACATACTGACATTTTGTTTCCCATTGACTTTCCTAAACCTTTTCAGTCATCCTCAAATCCTTTACGACTCCCTGACCTCCCACACAAGAGGGACATGGCTTAGCATACTATTTCAGTGAGAAGTTTGGAGTCATTAGATCAACACCCTTTACTCTCACCTTTACTTGTAAAATCTTCTCAGCACCATCACCCACTACTCATCCTTCCTTTCTCTTTCAGAAGAAGAGATATCTCTATTCTTTGTTAAAATATGCTCTTCTGTCTCTAATTTCATCCTTTCTTTCCTTTTTCGGTGTCTTGGGGCAGCAGCATTTCCTCTCTCATGTATCTTTAATCTCTCCTTCCTCTCTACTGACAAACTTACTCAGGTTTCCATAATCCTCAAAAACAAACCAAAAAAGTTCTTAATCTGCTATCCCATTTAGCTAAGTGTTCCTTCTCTTTCTCCTACCCTTCCTTGACAATGTTCTTGAGAACTTTGTCTACATTTGATATTTCCACTTTCTCATTGTCCACTTTCTTCTCAATGCCTTGCAATCTGGTTTCTGCTGCCATCACCCTTCTGAAAATACTCTCTCTAGGGTAACTAGTAACTTCTTAATTGCCAAAAAACAATGGTCTTTTTTCAGTCTTCATTTTCTTTGACCTCGCTGGAGTATTTGACAACACTGATCACCCTTCTTTTTCTACATACTTGTCCCTCCAACTATTATCACCAGGTGGTAAGCAAGCAGTAGTCAAAAGGCAGGATGCAAATGCCAAGCCCAGACACTTGCCATTAGTGACAGAGTGTCAGAATCAAAAGAACAAAGTGGGCAGATATGATCTGGTTAGCAAAGCAAAGTATTGGAATCCAAAGACCAAAATGAACAATGAATGTCTAAGGTCAGGGAAAAATCCAAGAACCTGCCATATGAATTCCATGGAGGTTGCCAAGGGCAGAGATGAGATGGAGGATTGATGATTTGGCCAAAATTTGATCTCTAGATTCCATGATGGCTAAAGGGCACAGAGATATGCAACAAGGAATTGTCTGGTTCAGGGATGGGGAACCTACAGTCTTGAGGCCACATGTGGCCTTCTAGGTCCTTAAGTGTGGCCTTTTAACTGAGTCCAAGTTTTACAGAACAAATCCTTTTCTTAAGGGTATTTGTTTGGATTCAGTCAGAGGGCTGCACTTGAAAACCTAGAGGGCTGCATGTGGTCTCAAGGATGAAGGTTCCCCACTCCTGGAGTTAGTGATGGTTTTAGTGAGTTTAGAAGACAAGGTCAGATGGTATACAGTTGAACTTCAAACTTCCATGTACATGTTTGTAGAACATGTGTGTTTTCCTACTGAACTTTGTAGCTTTAACTCAATTCAATAAACATTTATTAAGGACCTATAAGTGCCATGCTGAACACTGGGGATATAAATAAGAAAAAGGGGGAGGGAGGGATCCCTGCCTACAGGGAGTTTACAATCTAATGGGAGAAGACAACACACAAAAAGAAACTGGAAAGAAGGGAAGCTGCCTTGAGGGCATCTTGTTCCATGGAACCAAAACCAAGTAGAGTTACATATGAAAGTAGGGTAGCTGCAAAGTCTAGGTTCTGACTTCTATTAAAAAAAAAAGTCTTTGGGAAGAGTTCCAGCTCTCCAAACAGAGGAGAGAGGAGGCTAAGGGATGTGGACAGGAGTTGGCTTTCTATGGAGTTAGCAGCATGTTGAAGAGATCTGAGGTGATCAGTTTATCCTGGGAGGGTCATCTTGTTCCACAGAATTAAAAGCAAGCAGAACTGCTGATGGAAAATAGAAAACTTGTCCTCTCTCTCAACCCAACTGTCCTCCCAGAATTTGTGAGTTTCTGCTTTTGACCCTGTTTCTGTACTGGACACCATTTTATGCTTCTGGCCCTTTCTAGGTTACCCAGTTCCATTTGCACAAACTCCATCTCTCTAGGAATTTCAATTAACCAGTTAGAAATTGAAAATCATTTTTAGGTGCCTACTATGTGTCAGACAGTGTGCTGGACACTGGGGATACAAATGCAAGTAATGAAACAATCCCTAATCACAAGAACCTTGCATTCTAATGGGAAGACAATACATACACACATATGCACAGAATAAAAATGGAGATATTTGCATTTCTGTAGACAGTTCCCATTCAATGCAATTCAATTGACTTCAACAAGTATTTATTGAACATCTCTGTGTGAAATACTATACTAGGTATTGTGAAAGGTATGAAGATGGATAAAATGCCATCTCTGCCCTCAAGAATCCTGTAATTTAATTAATGGAGGAGATAAGGAAGGCAGTTATAAAAATAAACAAAACAAAAGGCAGAACTTCTGAGTCATATGGAAGAGGTTCAAGAAAAGAATTATGGGGGCCTTGTTGTTGTTTGTCCTTCTGACTATGACATTGGGAAGATGATGTCATGACTTGCAAGTGAATTGGATTTAAGTGAGGCAGGGCTGTGCAAAGTCACCAGCCTCACTTTCTCCTCTAAAGGAGAGATCATAACTAGCTTAAGGCATCAGAGAATGCTTTTTGGAGGAAAGGGCATCAGAGCTGGACCTTGAAGAGAGTACAGGGTGTTCCAAATGTCTTCGTGCTGTTTAAGCTTTAATAAACAGCTAACCTGCAAGACTTTTGGAACACCTTGCATTTCAACAGGTAGCAATGGGAGAGGAAATGGAGGTGGAGGGGAGAATACAGGTGGGAGGAAACCACAAAGAAAGACCTGGAGGTAAGAGACCTACTGTGTATTTTGAAATGGACCAAGTCTAGCTGGGCTAGAGCACAGTGTGCATGAAGGGAAGTAGTGAGTGATAAAGTTGGAAAACTGGTTGGTGTCAGATTGTAGCAAGTCTTACATCTCATGTAGAGAAATTTGGACTTTATTCTGCACGTAGAGGAGCCATCAAAAGTTGTGCCATGATTAGGGTAGGGCCTTAGGGTCTTAAGAAAATGACTGCCTCAGCATTGTGTAGGGTGCCCAATAAATGATTATTGGATGGAGTTGAATAATAGAGGGGGTTTGACTCTGCATTGGTGGTAAGATTTAGGGAAAACAAACTGATGAAATGGCTCATCCTTGAAGTATTGAAGCCAAATACCTATCTTACTAGGTTGTGACAGGGCAACTCTAACCTTAAAGAGCCATAAATTGTGGTTTATTGTTATGGTTCAAAATACATGTAATCTTCAAATATTGGAAATCCAGGGCAACTAAGAGATCACCTAGGCAAAATTAGTAACAATCACCTACCAAATTTAGTACTGTTCTCATTTTATTTGAGGCAGGGTTGTGCATTGGATAGAGAGCTACCTTAGAAACCAGGAAGAGCTAGGTTCAAGTCTAGCCTCTAAAAATGCATGCAGGCTATGTTGCCTTGGGCAAATTTGTAAACCTACAAAACCTAGTACACTAAGCAACTGTCTAAAGCTATACATTGCCGAGAAGGTGGCAATCTGTAATCACAGAAGAAGCTACATCGTCTAGGAATTCCTTACCAACAAAATCACAAGTTCTCTCCCTCTCCCTTTACAATTTAAAAACATGGGTCTATATGGAGTTTAGAGATCTACTAAGAACTAAGGGACTTAATTTCTATTTCTCACCATCCTTTTCTTTCTAGGTATAGGTTGACCAACCCGAATTGCTTAAAACAACGACTATATTTCAAGTAAATCTTGAATCAAACTCATGCTAATTGCTTTGGGTGTGATTAACTTTTAAGTGTCTTTACCTCATTCTAAAAACCTTGGTTTAGGACAATTCCCAACTTGATGATGGGAATTTTCAGTTTAGATTTGTCTGGAAAGGCATCACTCTTTTAAAGTACACTTTAATGGGATGGTTCTCGGGCTTCATTTTGGATTTCTCTAA